AGATCAATTGCTCCCTTATTATCAACTTATAGATGCAAGCATATTTTTGCTTTTTCATTATTCATCAACCTGGTATTATATAACATATCATTCAATCAGATTATCTTACAAGCTGTCTTGCTAGCTGCAATATATTCAGCTTCTGTGATTGATTTGATAATAGATGTCTGTCTCTATGACTGTTATAAGATTGATGACTCATTAATCAATATAACATAGTCAGTAGTTAATTTGTATTGAAGATTCATCTCTACTCAGTTCAAATTACAGTATATCACAGAACTCAGACTCATATCATCAATCTTCTTCCTGTATAATATGTCATGATTTTTCATCTTCTTGACATAACATAGAACATGCTTCAATGCTGCTTAATATATCTTGTGCAGATATGAGTTAAAATGCAAGAGATAGTTGACTGTGAATGCCAGATCTGACTGACTGCTTGAGATCAAATACTGTAATGATTTCAATTCTTGATGATATCTTATAGCTGTAAAGTCATTATTCAATTCATCATTCTTATCAGGTGAAAACTCCAGTTATATATCTGTCATCATTGAGGTCTCTGCAGAATTCATCTTATTCATGCTGAAATCTTCAAGAATCTTTCTTCAATATAACAGCTCTGTGTAATCGCTAGATTTTCATCTCAGTATTTAACCTTCATTTCTAGATAAGGTTTATTCTCTTCAATATTCTTTGTCTCAAATCTCTTTACAATCTCTCTTAATACTCAGTCTAATTGCTGTTCTTGAGATTCTATCATCTGATAATCATTGACATGCAATATCAGATAGATCTTGTGAACAGAGTGATATAGAAATTCATCATTATAAGATGATATCTTGAATCTCAATGTAATGAGATGTTTCATTACTAGGAAATATCATACTCTCACAGCTTGCTTCATTTCATATAGACTCTGATGAAGTAGTTTTATCAAGCTCTCTCTACTGTGCTTAACATCTGTGAGTAGTTATATATAGATCATCTCATTCTGTGATAGTATATCATTTAAAAATGTGAATACATAGTCAATTAATTTAATCTTTCATTCTTTGACAGTTGATATAATGAATAGACTGTGTGATGTAGACTCTAATATCACTGCAGTATATAATCTTATATAATGAATACTCTGCTGTTATAAGAATCTTCTAATCACTCAGCAAGCTCTAAAACAGATGATTTCTCTCTTATTATTAAATTTCTGATTATATACTCATTTATCTGTAAGAATATTCATTTCTGAGATCTTCTCAATAATAATATATGTCTTCTTCTGTTCAAATATCTTAATCTTCTTTTTTATTATCTTATATTAATAGTCTCAGTCTGAGCTTCTCTTGACTTTCATCAGTGTAGTTGATTAGTCTGTCAGAATACTTAGAATAGAATTATTCTTATTAATAGAGTCTTCATACTCTTTATTCATAACAAGCTGTGTCTCATTATCTAGAAGATAGATTAAATCAATTACACTCTCTAAGTTCTTATTAACAATTATCTTCAAAATATCTGACTTTTCCTTTACTAAATATTATAGTAGACAGTGCTGTCATTTGTCTCTGACATTCAGAATGTTCAATTCATTAGACAATTCATTGAATTCTCTCACTGTATTTACAGGTGTATTTGTACTTATATCAAGAGCTTCATCAAATATGACATCTCATGCAATCTCAAGATAATGTACAACAGAATCTCACATATGATATTAATATAATTCTTAATATCTAATCAGCTGTTATTTCTTACTGTCAGTTCTATCTACAAGCTTATTCAACACTTTCAAATTCTTCTTGTAGATCTTGTACTTTCATCTTCATATTCAATGAACAGAAGATTGCACCTCAGTTCAAGCTTTAAAAGATGTAAATGATGTTTCTTTCTTACATTTAAATATCTTTATTAATATTGAGAATGTGTTAATTATTATGATTATAACTTGTATTACTTCATTTCAAAGTTCTCTTTCTAATTTATTATTAAATAGTAGACTTCATATCTTTTCTACAACTATTTGATTTGTGTGTTCTACTGAGTCATTCAATTGTAGTGTATCAGATATAGTTATTTCATATGCTATTTCTTTACTCTGATAGTAGGTCTTAAGTTCTTGACTTTTGAACTCTTCTTCATCATCTCAGTGTAGAATTTTAACTTGATATTATATAGATATCTCAATATCTGTGATGAAATTCATTAATCTTGTAGTAGATTCTTTCTTTCTCATTATAAGAATTACTCATCTATAATGAATTGTATTGTCTATTATACTTAATTAGTAGCTTACACCTCTTCTAGTGAGAGTGTCATTCTCATTGAAAAGTGTTTTTTCACTCTCTGCCAGATTAATGAAGAATCTCATTGCCAGCTTGACAGCTCATGTCATAGATATAAAGATTGAACATGTCATTTTTGCCTGTACACAGGTCTTGCAGAATGACAAAGCTCTGTCACTCTTTATTCTCATTTCTAGTTATGAATCTGCTGTCATTTTTGCAATATTCATAGAATTCAGATGTTCTAGCTTTTAATATCATTGCATTATCATAAGTTCTATAATCTTTGTATCATTTCTTTCAGATAGTGTCAATATTATGTCATCTTTCATCTGTAATATATTCACAGATTCAAAATTATTATTGAGTATAGTAAACTGAATCAAGTCTCTGTATATAATTAGTCTTTTTATCTCATAGATATCATTCTCATTTAATCTTGCTGTAAATGAGAATATGCAGTCAGAAGACATAATTAATATAGTATGATTATTCTCATATATCAACTGCTTATAGATATAATTCTGATATATAAGCTTACTCATACTCATGAGATTCACTTCTAACTTCAGAATATAGCAGATATTATTTAACAGCATATTCATTTCTTTCACTGAAATCTTTGTATCTTCTATAGCTGTAGCAGAGATCATCATTTCATCTGTTATTTTCAACATCACTTTCATCTTCTGAGGTTTTGTCATAACAAGATCTCTGTGAAATATAATATAAGCATCTAATTCAGAGTCTAGAATTCAGATATCTTTTTCTGTCTAGTCACTCATATAGGCCTTTTTCTTGATATAAAATACTTGCTTTATAACATTGTGAACAGGAGCAGTATCTGTATTCTTTGCATTCTTATCTTTATTCTTGTTTCTATTTATATTGAAGTTTAAATTCAAAGAATATTTCTCAGAGTATTTCTTTCAACAGTCAGTCTGAATATAATTAATCTTTTGATAATAATAGCAGATTCTCACATTATTATCTCTATATTCAGATTTAAATTCAGTGTTCTTATTCTTGTAATTGTCTTTCTCTTTATTCTTGTCTTTCTTATTCTTATCTTACATATTGTTGATAGAATTTCTAGATATATCAGTATTTACTTCATTCATAGCAGAGAGCTGTAAAAGAATATCACAGCACAGACTTATAAAATTATTCTCTAAGAATTGAGTATTATCTTTGTTAATTTGATTCATTTAATTTCTTATAAATAAGACTCAATCTCTGTTAACTTCTATAAGCAGTCTGTTGAAAAATATAACATCTGAGATCTTATATTCTAGACAGATATAATTAGTTCTTATAATAATCAGATATTTAATAAAAGTATAATCTAAGTCTTTTAACTTAGCAGTCATGCTAATTAGTTTCTTAAACAGACAGATTCTGTGAATAGCAGATCTCTCAGAAAAGTTATTCTCTATGATAGTTTATAGAGTATAAGTAGATAACTTGAATTTCTTAAATATAGTAAAATAAGTCTTAATCTGCAGAGTAATTACAGATTATATATAATTATATAATCAAAGATTATATTCTTTTCAGAAATATTGTATATTTATAATAATATTCTTATCAAGATTATTATCTTTAAGAATATTATTAGTTTTAGACTATTCTATAGTTAAAAGAATTTTCTCTCTTTATATTAAGTAGTTAATGAATTCAGTCAGAACTATTAATCTTTTGATAAGTCTTACTTAGCTTCTGAATTCTTCAAGAACTTTCATTATAATAGATATCTTTTCTTTTTATTAAAGATATTCTATCAGATCTGCTCTTATCTCATTATCTACAGAGTTATCTCTACTAGTCTTTATTCACTTAATCTCATACTAAAGTCTTGTAATTTCTAGTCTTATGCAAGTCTTCTTACTTACTGAGCTATTATTATTTCAGTTATTTAAGCTTTCTGTATTATCTGATATCTCACTGATATCTTTAATCAGATCTTTATATATATTAAACTTATTAAACTGTTTCTCTGCAATGATTTCATCTAGCTCAAACATCTCAAAAGCTGTCTTTCAATTTGTTATTAATGTTAACAGTGATCTGTAATCTTGTGTTTACTACTCTGATGTTTTCTCATTTCTCTGTCTTGAAGATATGTATTCTTTTATTAAGTCAGATATTCTCTCAGATCTTAGATTAATCATGAATTCAATCACTTAATAAGTTATTTAGACATGCTTGTAACAATGCATGAAAATGTCAATTGCACATTATTTTGCAGCTTTTCATTGTGTAGAGAGCTTCATAACCTCTTGGAGAATAACATTGTTGTGTTGTGTTGTAATCTAACTACGCGAGTTACAACTAAATAGGTTGGGGTGGCACGTGACTAGGGTAGGTGTAGTAATCACCAACATAGTGATGGGTCACGTTATCTAGGGAGATCGCCACAGCCAATAACCGCAACGGCCGTAACGGCCAACAGTTACTTTTGAAACTGCTTTTACTACTAATTAATCAGTAATATAGTTAAGAGTAGTGATTATTCAACAAATTTTATTTAACATCTGTAGTAATTTATCTATGAAGTTCATCTTTCATTATTTGAATAACTGTATTGTACTTTTCATCTGATATTGTACTTTCTCACATTTAAATTCTTTCTTAAATTCTTTCACAACCTGGCAATTCAGACACTTGTGAGTATACATTTGAATGTTCTCAGCTATGCTCGATCAGTACACTCTTGATTCAAGTATACTCAGAAGCTCAGAGCTTTCTAAGTGACTGAATTCCTTATGCCGCAATATGCTGCAACCGAGCAGAACAGAGAGTCTGAGCCTGCTGAGATAATGTATAACTACTACCCTGTGAAAGTTGTATGTACTCACTAGAATTATGGTAAGTCTGTTTCATATTTCATACATTTGGCAGATACCCTGAAAGATCTAGGTGTTTTAAAGGTTTGTTGCCTACCTGGATAAGTCAGATATAGTTAACCTGCTGGCGAATACATATTTCATTATCTCTCAACATCATTAAATAATACACAGCCATCAAATCGCCTTATAGGAAAATCCAGTCATGACATACGTATGTCTGTGTTCCGATTCACCATCGAATTACGTCCGGAGTATTTGGAGAGCGAACCAAAGCCTCGCCGCCTGCCTTGAAAAGCAAACAGTAAATAAGTACTATAATACATCGAAGCAAGCTTCATAGAACACAATAATTCCGTATGGATACATTGGCTTCAATTCCGGTTCTTTCTCCATGTCACGACAGCATGGAAACCCCTTTCAACGAGAGCGCAGCCGCTCTAAGCCCGCAGCACAGGTGTTGTTATACCAATTCATTTTGATATCGTCGACAAAAAAAATGGCCGGCTTATCCTGCACGGACGCAGAAAATTTGAGTCCGCTAATTCCCAGGAAACTGTCTCCAAAGTCTAATGAAGAAAGCCTACAGTTTCTGTACCCTGGGCATGGTGGGATGGCGAATCTGCGAGTCCCAGCCGACTCCTCTATCTTTGTTTGCGCTGAGTATCTGACCGCGGACACCGTCACTGCACAAGTTGTATTGGCAGAGCCGTTATCGCACCCAAAATTGGCGGAGTAAGCATCAAACCAGAAAGTGTCCAGGCTACTACGAGGCCCTGCACCGAATTCGCCTCCATGTAGCAATCCCGCATACGGAGAGCCACGATTATCCTCACTCTTCTCGGGTATGTAGATTCCGATATGTGGGTTGGAAGTGGGAGGGTATGGCTCAGTTGGCGGAGGACCGTAAGACCATCCATCAGAGAAGAATAAATGGTTATAGGGGTTGAAGATTGGTGGAAACGCGGCAGCATCGTTGTTACTTGGTGAAAATCGAGGCAAGTTATCAAACTAACTTCGATCAGCAATTGCAAGCAGTGCTTCTGATAAATGGAATTGCGGAGTAAAGTGTATATATGTGCTTACATCCATTGTAAATTCACCCGATTCTCCACATTTAGTTGGAGTCGGTGAAGGTTCACTTATCGTGCGAGTGATTTCAATAATAGCGGTCTGGGTTGAAGATGACGGGGAAGATAGAGCACCACCATCCCAATTGTTGACCCATGAGACAATCTGACCGTTAATAGTTGCTGTAACCATCACGCCGACCTGTCGTTTGGCGATAGATACAATAACTGGCTTGGAACAACTAGGGTTTGGACCCCCAGACATGCACTGCATGCCTGTGGCTTGTGCTGTAGCGTTTACTGGATTTGTGGAATTCCAACCACTAGGACCGTATGGTTTAGAAGTGACAGCGGATAGGGTGGTCGGAATGACCGTAGTAATAGGCAGAGTTAGGGTTGGTAGCTCTGCTGTGCCAGGTGCACTGCCTACGGTGGATATAGTTGATGGGATAGGTGGCATAGGCGGAATGGCTATTGGAGTGGATGGAGTCGCCGATATATCGGATGCTTCAGCGCTATTGTCAGCTTCAGTGGTAGGCAGCTGTGGCACCGATTTATCTGGCAAACCACTTGACGACAGGGTGTCACTGAAGGTAATAGTAATCACCTCAGTCGAAACTGAAGTAATCGTTGTCGTAGGCTCCGAAACGGGTAGCGGGTGGACTGTCATTGTGAGAGTTGAATGTTGCGATGAGGAATCATTGGTGACTGCAGGGTTTGTTTCAAATCTTGAAGCGGCTGTCGTGTATGTCACAAATGTTTCTTCAGTAGCTCTGGATTCACCCTTTGAGCTAACAGTGGAAGTGACAGGCGAAACATAGAGAGTAAGTGTGATATACACCGTTTCCGTGAGCGTGATGGTCACAGGCTCGGTCTCGGGAGACGCGCAGGCCTTGGGGGGAACAGTGGTTGTAATAGTCACAGCCCGGTCATTCGTACTCGTCGCGGCAGAGGCGCAATCCCTGGGGAGAACAGTTGTCGTGACAGTTACAATTTGGAAATTTGAATCACTCCGGCTAGAGACGATTTATATTAGTTAGAGTGCGTGCTCCCAGAGTCAGACATTGCTTGAGATCAAATGGGATGAATCTTGCAAACTTTTCAATGACATGCCATTGAAATTGGAGAATATTTCAACCTCGTAAAGCAAAGATCACACAATCACCCGATAGAAGTAGGTAGCTACTATATATACTGAGAAGTTGTGGTAGAGCGCGTACGTAAGGTGAATGCAACCAGAACAATCCACGAATGACAAATGGAAAACGCGACGAACGCAGTAGACAGCATTAACATACCTTCGAGGCAAACGAGCCCCAGCAGCTAGAGCAGCAAATCCCGCTCCAATGACGGCTTGGACACGCATAATGAAGGACGTGTATGGGTAAAAAAGAGTGTGGTGAAGAAGTACAGGGCAAGGATTGCGAAAAGCGAGAGACTACCCCCGAAACTCAGGAAATGACAGGAGTTATTTCTTGGAAAGAAAGCAATCTGCTAAACGAGAGTGAGAAGCCCAGGGCCGGGTCTCAGCAAAAACGGAGATAGGACGATTGTCGAAGCAGAAATGGCAGCGCTGAGATGGAAGTATCAAAGCAAAGAAGTGAGATAGGGAGTGAGGAGTCTTGAGGTCGGGTTGAGGTCGGGGAGCAGGACACAGGCAGAGACCGCTCCACGTGGCCCGTGACCTCCTTTTTTGACTGCTTGTTTTTGTGCGCCAAACAGCTACGGCTCCCTGGCCAACGCAGCTATGTATCATTCCTTGTTACTATGTCGAAGTGTATTTTTAAGCATCCTGTTTAGCAGTGGGTATATATGCAGAGTAACAATGTATATTTAGACGGTCCTTTTTGCGACTTTCCTTGAGGGTAGGGAATGGAGAAGATGTCCAGTACGCTTCTGAAGGTAAATATATGCGTTTATTCCAATTCACACCTGATATAAGCAGATCCAAGGCTGATAGACATACAGAGTAGTTCTGCTTACCCATGAAAATGACGCCCAAGGAGACATCGCAAGAAGCCGTAGCACAACATTTCAGCTGGCTTCAACTCTACAGCTGTCATAACTGCACAGAAGCTCCAAGGCAACATGAACAAGAAGAACTCTTGCGTAATTGCGACTATTTATACAGTCAGGAAACTCGGTGTCGAGGCAGGCAGCCATAGATATAAGAAATAATAGGGTAGATCATTTTGATCTAGCCTCAGACTATCATGAAATACCGGCTGGTACAGCTTGCAATAGTAGAAATGCCAAATAGTAAAAACCCCCATTTCACAGAGGTCCAAGGATCAGGCGAGAAGAAGACGACAGGGGGAAAATGAAGCAAAATATTTCCTCATATAATAAGAAGAGCCCTTGGCGAGGAAACAGCTGTTAGCGTAAGTACACATCCCCGTGAGATGTGATCGCCCAGGCTGAAGGATAATTTAGGCATTCCATTGATGTTCCTTCACGCGACAAACGTGTCGACCAAGCTTGATGAGTGGTTATCCGTTAATGTTAATAGATTGGATGTTGCCTCGATGGAAGGCCCTGAGCGATGTTGTTCTAACGATTGGTGGTCAGGTTAACAAGGCGGAGACGGAAGCGAAATAATTAATCCGTCGCAAAGGTCTTGGATGTAGTTAACTGATATAATGACTGAGTAATATATATAGATAGCAGCAGTAGAAGTAAAAAGAATAGAAATCTCACTATTATAGAAAAACCAACTTTTCCAATCAAAAATCGCTGTAACGTAACATGACATCACGTGCACCCCATCAAAAATCTCTTGGAGGATAACGTTGTTGTGTGTATGTGTGTAATCTATCTACGCGAGTTACACTAAATGGATCCATACCGGAAGAACGTAGGGTCAATTTACAGTGATTCCACGGTGGTTCCACCGTTCCACGCCGGTCACATGTCGCCGATTGTAACACATGTTCCATCATTGATTTCAGTGACACATTGCCAAAAATTAAACATCAAGATGATGTTGAACCAGTACAGGACTTCTTGACATCATCAGGACATGGCTCAGTCATCATGTAATCAGTGAATGTCATTATCAAGATACTATTAAGATACTGTGAACTCTGATATACTGTTCTGTCAGTGAATTAATACATACTATTTAACTAACTACTTCATATAAATCAAACTATTCATCAATTAATATAGCTAACTATCTAAAGAAATAAGATATTTCAAGTGTAATATAAATATCTTATTATCTATAATTTATATATTAAATAACTGTTATTTTTATCACTATTCAGTATTAGAATGTTATATAATACTGTCTTTTAAATTACTGAAAGTCTGATAATAGTATAATTATTAAAATTCTCTTATAAAATCAGCAGATTCAGCAGATAATTCTGTCTGATATAATATAGAGAAATAAGTATAAAGAAAATCTGCTTAATTCTATTTTATAAATAAAGATAATTATAATTCAGTCAAGATTAACTTTCTAATATTAAAGAATATTTCTCTTTATAAAAGAGATTCAGTGAATATACTCTCTGATTTATATATTAATAAGTTAATAACTAATTAATTAATTAGTTGAAGAGATATACTGAACTGAGAATATTAACTTATTATAGAAAAGAATTAAATAATAATCTAGTTTTAAAACTGAGAGCTTATTTTAATCAGTATTATAGAATTCTTACAGCTTATTAAGAAATAAATAAAGTAATTCAAGCTTGAAGAGATTTATAAATTATATATTAACTTTCTATAATATTTTATTTAATAATAGATAATTAAAAATCTTCAGAATAATATAATCTTTTATTAATATTAATTTAATAGAGTAGTTCAGTAAATTATCATTCTTATCTTCAGCTTCTTTATTTATTCTCAGTAAATTATTAAAAAGTACTGAATAATATATATATAAATTCTGAATCTTCTGTGTTAGATATATATCAGAGCTGTTAAAGAAATCTCTTAATATTAGTTATAAAATTCACTGAAAACTCTTCTATAAGAGTAGTATCTTTTTTATATCTTAATAATTTATTCACTATAGTAGATTTTTATAGTCTTAATACTTATTCTCTTTTATCAGAATATTACAGTTATTAAATACTATATATTCTTTAATCTGCTTAATATAGTGTAAATTGTGGCGGGCTGCGCCTGATCAATCATATAGACTATTCCATTACACTTCATAGATTCTTCCATTCCCGATCACCGATCCGCGGCCGCTATGAACGCACATAGTGTACACTCCGATTCTCAGCCATTCCTAATCACTGATCCTCGGCCGCTACAGATGCGCGCATATTCTTCCACTCTGAAGCTCCACCACATACACCACCACATACATGTATAAATATCCACCTTGATTACTAATTCTTGCACTTTCTCTTTCTTTCCTTCTTTAACATTTGTATCTTTGTTATATAAGATCTATTAATATTATATCAATCTATTCAGTGTAGGTCTCTTACACTATAGAAACATTCATCATCTTCTCATTAGAAATAATTATTCATTAAGAGATATCTGAACATATAACAATGTGTAAGAAATAGAGAAACAGTCAAACAGTTAAGTAGACACTGAGTTCTCAGATAGAAGCTTGCTCATCAGTCACTCTGACTCTGTAACAAGATCTTATGAAGAGAATAAGATCTTATAAGAGAAAATCAGTGAAAGATCTGAGAGTTCTAACACTCAGATATATGAGAATATAATTACACATCTGACAATCAATATAATCATGTCTAATAATAATATGAAACTCTTAAATACAAACATAGACATGATGTCACAGTAGCTCTGAGCAATGTTGAAATTATAATAATAATAAATAGCTGATATACATGCAACTCAACAACTTCAATATGAAGAGATTCAATGATTAACTCATGTAATTTCAATATCTACAGAATCAAATACAAAAGTGCTGAAAGAACACTTAGATGCTCTTACATATTTCAATACTTTCAATCTCACTCTCTACTCATTATGAAGAATGAAAATGCTTGTGAAACTGAGTGTAGATGAATATTTCATCAGTTCATTAATTAATCAAGATTGATATATCAATAAACAATTGAAGAATCATATAAAACAGAAGTTTCATTCATGAATAAAAGTATATGAATCAGTATTAAGAACATCTGATAATATTATAAAATATCTTGATATTCTGTTCTAAGACACTATCATATAACAGAAAGTATTAGATTGATTATAGAGTATCTGATAGAGAAACACTTCTCTTACAACATTCATTTCTGACTTCAATATCAAGATTCTAGAAGCAGGTGATCAATCTTAAGAGAATCAAATAAAGATTAACATGCTCAAGAAGACATTGACTTTCAAACTCTTACAGACTCTTGTAAGTGTAGATGAAGACCAGACTTATAAAGACTTCTGCACATAGCTCTGAACATTAAATGACTATCTTATCAAGCTCAAGAGTATACAGAACAGTGATAGAAGATATTACATCTCAGTCATTTATATATCTGTATTGAAGAGGAGTAACAGCAATGATACAGATGTCATGAACTGAATAGATTCAAATGTCTATACATAAGCAAGAGTTTTCACTGTTTGAACAGACTTCTGAGTTTCTGAGATCACTTCTGAAGAAGTCACTGATTAATATCAATGTGAAGTGTGTATTAACTGTAACTAGACTGATCACTGAGACTATAAATTTCACATTTGATCTCATTTGATCTGATCTCATACATTTCTTGGCGTGAATCCCGCTGGGACTGGCTATTAAAAAAACATGTAAAGTGACTATATATCAGATCTTAAAATGAAACCATGACTTGAAAAAAATGAGAAAGTGATCCCATTTGGTCTCATTTAGTCCCATTCTTGGCACAAAGTTACTATTTTTAGACATTTTAAGGTTTTTTTTAGACTATTTTTAATTTTTTAAAAAGTAACACTTTTTGATAACACTCAAATGAGATTTAAAGTCATTTAAAGCAATAAAAATAATTTAAATTGAGAAGTGAAAATCATGGTCTCATTTGAAAAATGTGACAAGAGTAGACAGTAAGTCTCACTGAAACAGTATGAAACTACTATCTAATGTTAAAACTGTGTAATGAGATCAGTCGAATTGGTAATGAGACTATCAAAAAATCTGGTCCTGGTCTCAGACACGGTCACACGGTCAGTCTAACTGTAACTCATCAGAACACATTGCTTTCAACTATCAATTGATCTATATGTCTTCACACTTGAGAGAAAGATCAGTGTCTGTCTGTATCAATCACATTGCAGTGAAAGAAGATTCAGAAGATAACTATAAGAATATCTCAGTGAAACAGAGAAAAGATTAGCTTCTGTTTAAATTTATAAACAGAAGCTTGAAGAGATTGAACAACAACAATTTGAAGAGAAGATGACAATGAATATGATTCTTATATCTACTATGATTCATAATATGTATAATATGAAAGCTATGATAGACAGTGATCTATATCACTATGCAATGATAAAATCTTCAGTTGTAAGACATCATAAACTTCAGTGTATTTCTCTATTAAAACCTCAACTTCTCACAGAATTTAGTGATTCAAAGAACATTTGTATCTGTTATATAGTGAAGCTGATCATAGATGTGAGAGAATATCAGCATGAAGATGCCTATGCATATGAAGTTGATAATCTTGATTATAATCTTATATTAGAACTTATCTGACTATCTGAATAAGACATCTTATTGAACACTTGAAACAGAAGCTTGATATTTTCTAACAATGATAGAGTTCATGAAGATGATATTTACAAGATTATGAATCTGACACAGATCTCTGTCAACATGTATGAAATACTTTGAAAAAGAAGTCATTATCAAAATCACTGACAGAGTCACTAATAAGTTTGCTGACAGCAGAACTATGTATCAATCTATTCTATCAGTCTGACTGATATTAAAAAGGCTTTAGAAAAGTTATCTCACATTATAATAACAGATTCTTGTACAAAACTCTCTCAATGTGGTTCAGAAGAACGTACGACCGTCGGATAATACCGCGGCCGCTTCCGAACTACTAGCGTATGCGTATGAGTGTAAAGAGGCCATAGCAGCCACTAATTAAATTAGCATACAAAATTACAATATATAAGAAGCCAGTGTACACCTGTAATCATATGCTGGCTTAAGCAACCTTTGAATCACATCTGATAGCATGTCTAAAAACTGGTGAGAAGCGCAGACTTCTTCAGGGTGTGATAATTTCATCTATGAAGTGATTTGTAATTATCATGCCAGAGTGGTTCTAGAAACACCTCAAAAGATAGTGTACAAAAAGTGATGAGTGGAAGAGCATCTGATTAATACTGCTTCACTTGTTGAGGGAAAACTTCACACCCAGGCAAATGCCACATATGAGACATGAATGAATAAGATGTGAGAAAGAGAATGAGAGTGATGAACCAGATTCAAAGAAGTCTGCTCTCTACTCAAAAGAAGAATAAAAAGAGAGGAAGTGGCCATCACTGAAGTTGTATGATGATAACAGAAATCATATAATGATATAGCAATAGAATGATATAGCGATATAATGATACAGTGATATAGTGATATAATAATAGACATTGTACAATCAATGAGAAAATCACTGAAATGAATACCTCTTCTAGCTGATATGAACAACACTCTTCTCTGCTACCTGAACTGGAAGATATGCAGAACCTCTCAGAGAGTTTACTCAAAGCAGTAAGAAAAGCAGCTGAGATCACTGAATCAGAATTGAAGCTCTGTACATGTATGAGAATTCTAAATGAGATTAAGGCCTTGCATACACAGTGA